TTTTAAATTCTGTCCAGTTGATATTTAACACTAACCATCATGGGTGCCTAGTGACAAAGCTTCAAAATATATGAAACATGGGCTGGAGAGATGGATCAGCAGTTAAGAGAACCGGCTGTCTTACAGAAGACCTGAGACTGGTTCCCAGCACCTACTCCAGGAAGCTCATAATCACCTGTAACTCCAGATTGGGCTCTGGTAACCTATTCTGGCCTCCACAGGCCAGGTGAACATTCCCACACATAGAGACAAATAAAATTAATTTTTTTAATTACAAAATGCATGAGGCAACAACTAACGGGGCTAAGTAGAAAAATACACGAGTTGGATCAGCGCTTTCAGTACTCTTTGCAGAAATTCATCAAGGATAAAGCAGTTGTAAATATCTACAGTTTCAGACACATTTGGTGAACTGTGTCCAAAAATATTAAGTAGAATACTCCAGATGTAAACAATTCATAAGTTTTGAATTGAACAGTTCTTTTTCAAAAAATATTTTGTTTTTCCTTTGCAGCATTTTATATATTATTTCCTTTTCTTTTAAAACATATTTTATTATTTTTATTTTGTGTGTATGAGTGTTTTGCCTGCATCTATGTATGTGCACCCATGTCATTCAATGCCAGCAGAAACCAGAAGACAGTGTTGGATCCTCTGGGATCAGGGTTATAGACAATTGTTAGCCACCATATGGGTGCTGGGAACTAAACCTGGGTCTTCTGCAAAAGCAGCCAGTGCTCTTAACTGCTGGGTCATGCCTGCAGCACCTAAACCACACAGTTTTGAATAGCATGATAATATCTCACACAATCCTTCTCTGTCCCACTAAGACATGAATCACCCCTTTGACCAGGCTATCCACACAGTATATGCTGCCCTCCTATAAATTACTTAGTAGCCTTCTTGGTCACAGTACCATAATGCTTGTGTTCAAGTAATCTTTATTGTATTATTAATTATCTAAATCACAAGGATAGTGATGGAGGTAATTCTGATATTAGAAAGATTAAAGCATAAGATATTTAGAAAGATATAGCACATTCATATAACTTATAATATGTTCTTATAATGATTCTATTTTATTGTTGTTAATCTTTCACCATGTATGATTTATAAATTAAAGTTTATCATAGGTGTTATGGCATGAATCTGAAATGTCCCCACAGGCTCATGTTTTAAGAGTTTAGTCACAAGCTTATGGTATTATTCTGATGGACTGTAGAGCCTGTAGGAGATGGAGCCCAGCCAGGTTGAAGGTATAACCCAGTTGTGATGGTTAGTGTTGTTAACTTGACAGAATGTACCCTTATCTAGGAGACAGGCCTCCGGTAATACCTGTGAGGAATTATTTGGCCTCTAGGAATGCCTATGAGGGATTCTCTTTTTATCTTAATAATGTTTTTACTAATTCTTTGAGAACATCATGCAATGTATTTTGATATTACCCTCCTCCCTCGTTACCCTCCTCCCTCATCTTCTCTCAAATCCACCCTCACCTCCTTACCCCTAACTTTGTGTCCTTTTTTTCAAAAAAGCCCATCCAGTATAATTTGTGTTGCACAAATACTCTTGGGTGTGGGACCATCCCCTAGAGTGTGGTCAACCCAGCAAGGGCCATACCCTTAACGAAAACCAACTTTTCCTTTCCCACCATCTTCTAATTGCCAAAAGCTCCTCAGCTAGGGGTGGGACTTCATGCTCACCTCCCCTCTCCATGCTGGGATTTGTGTTTGGCTTGAGCTTGTGCAGGTCTTGTGCATGCTGTGAGTTCATATGGGCATCTGCCCTGTTTTATCCAAAAAACCACTGTTTTGTTGTAGTTCACTGCCTCTGGCTCTTAAACTGTTTCTGCCCTGCTGTCTCCTGAGCCTTGGGGGAAGGGTGTGTTATAGCTGTCCTAATTAGGGCTGAGTACTACACAAGTGAGAGATTCTCTTGATTAGGTTAATTGATATGGGAAGACCCATCTTAACTATGTGAAAGCATCACCTTGGCACTGATTCTGTACTGCATAAAATGAAGAGAGTGATATGATGTGAGCATTAGAAGTCATTGCTCTTGGCTTCTTCACTGTAGATACCCTGTGACCAGTTGCCTCTTCAAGTTCCCACTACTGTGACTTTCCTAGAATAATGGACTGTAACCTTGAACTGAGTCAAAATAAACCTTTCTATCTTAAGTTGCTTTAATGATAGAAAGGAAAAGAAACTAAGCCACCAGCCCTGGTTCCATTTTAGTTTGCGCTACATCCTGGTCTGTGCCATGAATAGTCACCATCACAACTTTTCATAGCCATGAACTGAGCTGCTCCTGTCATTGTGCCTTTCCTCCCATAATGGACCAAGAACCTGTGAAACTATGATCCCAAACAAACCTTTTCTCCCTTAAACTTTTCTGTCAGGTGTTTTGTTATAGCAAATAACCAATGAAACAGATGTGGAAGTATAGGAGAAAAACATAGTATTTATAGAATTTGGTACTATCTTCAGTTTCAAGTACCCACTAGAGGTCTTAAAATGTGTCCCTCATGGATAAAGAGGTTCTACTGCAATGTTATTTACCAACCTGACTTCCTTGGCATTTGCTGAATACTACTGACAGCACCACCAACAGCACCCCATACATGCTTTTCTCAATTTCATGCTCTGTCACAAAACAAATCTCAATGAACCCAAGAAAACTCAAGAAATACAAAGTACATTCTTTGATTACAGTGGAATTAAATTAGGCATTAAAAGTAAAAAAAAGATAAATTTTCCAAATAATTAGAAATTAAATGACACACCTTTAAATAACAACTGAGCAAAAAAAGAAATCAAAAGCTAATTAGAAATTAGCTTAAAGCTATAAAAATTAAAATGTCACAAGTCAGAATTTGTGGGATATTGCTATACCAACTGTACTGGTTATTTTTCTGTTGCTGTGATAAAACACCATGACCAAGGCAACTTATAGAAAGGAGAGTTTATTTGGGCTTGTAGTTCCAGGGGGATAACAGTCCACCATGATGGGAAAACATGGCAACAGAGGTGGCTGGAGCTGAAGGCCAAGGACTCACATCTTCAAGCACATGCAGGAAGCAGAGAGAGCAAAATGGGAAGTAGGGCAAGGATGTGAACTCTCCAAACCTACCCCCAGTGAGGAACTTCCTCGAGCAACGCCACACCTTCTAACGGTCACATAACCTCCCCCAAACATTGACCAAATGTTCAAACACTTGAGTTTATGGGGACATTCCTCATTGAACCCACCAAAGCCACTTTGAGTAGAAAAAGCCAGTAAGTCAAGTCAACTTATACAAAGGAAAAAAAAAAGGTCAAAAGGAAAAGAAAGCATCAAGTTAACAAAATAGAAAGCACAAAAACAATAGATGGTCAATGAAACCAAAAGCTAGCTTTTTGGCAAAAATCAATAACATTTTGATGAAACTTTTGTAGACATACTAGGGTAGAAAGATTAAACAAATGACAAAGACTAGGGATGTGAGAGGCTGTACCAGCCAGCCGCTCCCAGTGCTAAAAGCATAGTAAGGGAATATTTATGAGCAATTTTACATCAATAATTTCAACAATGTAGATGAAACAATTTCTTTGAATGAAACAAATTACAAAAACACACTCAGGATAAAATAAGTAATCTGAACAGCTATATATTATCTGAGAATATTACATAGTTCCAAAACCTTTCACAAAGAAAATTCTAAGTCCAGACAGCTTAATGTATAGTCTACCAAAGGCTTAAGGGGGGCAGGGACGATCAACAGTTTTACACACATTTTTTAAAAATATTGAAAACAAGAGAATAATTCCCAAATAGTTTTCCAAGACCAAGATTACCCTCAAAACAAAATAAGGCTCAAAGATTATAAGAACACTATAAACTAATATTATTGGGGATGTTGCTCAGTGGTAAATAGTGCTTTCCTAGCATACAGGAGGCTTTGGGTTCTATTTCCGTACTGCAAAAACAAACGAGCAAACAGAAAACCCTACAATATCATCCAGTACAAGAGACAGGTGAAATGGGTCAGTGAGTAAAGACACTTTGCTGCTAAACCGGATGACTTTGTTTGGTCCCTGCGAGCTACATGGTAGAAGAAGGAAACCAACTCCCACAAGTCATCCCCTGACCCCCACATGCACACCCAAGCAAGTGTGTGCAGGCACACACACACACACACACATACACACAAATGCAATTTTAAAAATTGCATATAAAATGTCAACAAGCTGAACTCAATGATATAGTGAAAGGAAGTTACATCATATAATCAAATGGGATTTGCATTGGAATACAGAGTTGATTAACATTTGGAAAACAATCATGTTCAACATATTATCTAAAAAGATAAAGTCATCTCAACAGATATTGAGAAAGCATATGACAAAGTCTATCATCCACTCTTGATGTACATCCCAGTTAGAAGGAAACTTCTCTAATCTAAGAAATGACAACTAGGAGACAACAGCCATTCTACTTATTGGTGACGGCCTAAATACTTTCTCCTTCAGATCAAGAGTGAGGCCAGGATATCTCCTCCCACCGTTTCAGTTCCACACTGTACAGATAGTTCATCCAGTGCAAACAGGCACAAAAAAAGAAATGAAAGACATCCCAAGAGAAAAGGAAGAAGGGAAACTTTTCATTTGCAGATGACACAATCATCTATAGAGGAGTTATGGGGGGGAAGGTAAAAGGAAAGCTATTAGATCTAATATAAATTTTTGTTTACTTTTTGAGATGGGGTCTTGCTGTCCTGGTACTCACTATGTAGCCCAGGCTATCCTCAAACTTCCAGAAATCCTCTTGCCTCTGCTTCTCGAGTGCTGGAATTATAGTCAGCTTAGAACTAATCATTTAACTATAAAATTCTAGAGTCTTATATGATACATATCTATTAAACTTTTAGAAGATAGCACAGGTGTAAATCTGTGTGACCTTAGGATTAGGAAAAATCTCTTAGCTGCCAGCAAAGCACAATCTTTAAAAAAAACAAATATAAGGGAGAGTGAGAACACAGTTCCCCACTACCACAAATCATGCAGTCCAGTTTCCTGCATTTGGGGAAATTGCAGGGCTCAGTATTTCTAGAGTGCAATGGATGAGCCTCGCCCTGGAAAAATCACCTTTGTGATCATGGCATCGCTGCTACCAGGTAAATATAAAGCATAATCTACAAAAGAATAAATAATTTAAATTTCATCAAGATTAAAAACTACTCATTAAAAGTCTGTCTCTTTAAAATGTATTATTATGTGTGCGTGCATGCATGCATGTGCCTTAGTGGACATGTGTCAGGCAACTGTGGAGTTGGTTCTCTCCTTCCGCCTTTACCTGGTGTATTAGTCAGGGTTCTCTAAAGGAACAGAACTGACAAAGTGGCGGGGAGCGGGGACTTATTAGATTGGCACATAGGATAGAGTCCAAGAAGTCTAACAATGGCTACACCACACTGGAGATGCTAAGAATCCAGTAGTTTCTCAGTCTGAGGCTGAATGTCTCAGCAATCCCAATCTGGTGCTGAAGGTCTGAAGGATTCCTGAAGGTCTGCTAGTCTTCAGTCTACATTGGAACCTGAAGAAGTTGGTTCTACTATCAGCAAAGGAACTCACCAGTGAGAGAGAAGGCAAGCAGGCAGAAAGCAAAGCTCCCTTCTGCTGCGAACTTTTTTTATTTTTAAAAAATACTTTATGTATTATTTTAATTTCATGTATATGATTGTATTACCTGCATGTGTGTAAATGCACTCGACTTGTACAATGCCCTCGGAGGTCAGAAGAGGTGTTGGATTTCCTGAAACTGGAGCTACAGATGGTTTTTAGCTGCCATATGGGTTCTGGGAACCAAACCCACATCCTCTGCAAGAGCAGTCAGTGCTCTTAACTGCTAAGCCATCTCTTCAGCCCCCTGCTGTAACCTTCTACGTGGGCTTCCATCAGAAGGTAATGCCTACATTTAGTATGGGTCTTCTGGCTTCAAATAATCCAATTAAGAAAGTCTCTCTCATTTCAGTTAATTCCAGATTCAGTCGAGTTGACATCCAAGATTAGCTATTACACATAGGTTCACCAGGCTTTTACAGGAAATGTTTTTACTTGCTGAGTCATCTCACTGGCCCTAAAAGATGCCCTTAAGATCATGAGAAGAAAATATTTGCAAAATATATATCTTAATTGACACATCTGGAATATATAGCCACAAAACTCAACATTCTGCTAACAAAGTAATAAACTAATCAAAAGGTTTAAACAAGTTAAACTACATGGTTGGCAAGCAAACATATCAAAAATGCTTAATATCATGAATCATATGTTTAATCCACAATGGGATAATATGACATATTCACTAGAATGACCAAATTCAAGAGATTGACCATACCAAACATTGGAAAGGGTAAGGAGGACCTAGGATGCTTGTGAACATCTTTGATAACATAAATGTTCCAACCAACTTGGGAAACAATTTGGCAGTCTAAACATACAAATGACCATATGAGCCACCCAGTTCACTTCTGTTTGTTTACTCAAAAGGAATATAAATTTTCAATCATACGAAAGCTTATATATAAATGTTCACCAACACTTCATTTGTAACAGCTGAAAAATAGAAGTATTGCCCATTAATAGGTGAATGAATTAATCATGGTACATCCATAAATGGAATACAACTTTGTAACAAAAAGACAAATACATATATATACATGAATATATATCATCAATAAATCATCCTGCTGATTAAAGAAGTCAGCTAAGATAAAAGTATGTACCTTATGATTAAATTTGCATAAAACTGTAGAAATTGTAAGTAACCTGACAGAAAGCAGACCAGTGGCTGCTTCAAGATGGACAGAGAAGTACGAGAACAAGGGATTACAAAGGTGTCAAAGGAAACATCTGGAGGTGATAGATATGTTCACTATCTTGACCACAATGATAATTTCACAGATACAGATATGTAAAATTGCAAATTCTAATCATGTACAACTTACTGCAATGTTTATATAAGTGTAAAACTTATGTACCTTTATATGAACTTTAGCATATATCTGCATATCACTCTGTACATGATTCCAGTGGAATATAATCAGCATATAATAAACTGGCTATGTTTATATACAGTTTTTTAAAGACCAGCCTAGAAGAAAAAATATTACCTCTTATGTTTTTTTTCCATTTTTCTTCCTTCCTTCTTCTATCCAGTCCTCCCTCTCTTCCTTTCTTCCTGTCTTTCTCAAGAGGATTTAGCTGGCCTCAAAATCAAGGTACTCCTACCTCAGTGTCCTAAATGCTGGGATTACACATGCAAGTCTCTAACCAAAGCCTCAGATGTTTCATTGACTGTTGAAAGTCACATGTCCTAACTCCAAGTAAGTAGAAAAAATGCACTCTTTAAATACATTTTATTTATTTATTTTGTGTCATGTGTGGGAGCGGGGTGCATACGCGCCACTGTGTGTGCGGAGGTCAGCAGACAACTTTCAGGAGTAGGTTCTGTCCTTCTACCATGTTGGGTCCCTGGGACATCCGGTGTCTGGAAGAAGAGTATTTGTGCATTGTCCTAATGACTACCACACTCATCAGTAAGTACAATTTAAAAAAAAAGAAAAAAAAAAAAGAACACATGTTGCCTAACAGAATTCACAATCTAGTCCTTCTGCAAACATCCTACAATGATTCAGATGTTCTGTTGTGATGTGGAGGAACACAAGTTAAATGAGAATAAACAAGCCACCTAAACCTCTCCCCACTAAATTTAGGTGTTGAGACTTCTTAGAATCTGTGAACATGAAGAAGAAGGAATGAGCCTCTGCTTCTTCTACTCCTGTATTCTGTGCCATTAAATTTAGTTTAAGTCAGCCAGGCATGGTGGCACAGGCCATTAGTCCCAGCACTCAGGAGGCAGAGGCAGGTGGAGCTCTGTGAGTTCAGGCCAGCAGGAGCTACAGGGAAACCCTTCCTCAAAAAAGACCAAAAAAAAAAAAAAAAAAAAAAAAAAAAAAAAAAAAAAAAAAAAAGTTTAGTGTAAGTCATAGCAGAAAGAGACAAAGACCCACTCCACAGCAATTAAATTCCTTTTCTGAGACTGATTCTCTTCATGGTCAAGAAATTACATTTCAGGGGACTGGAGAGATGGTTCATCAGTTAAGAGCACTGGCTGATCTTGAAGAGGACCGAAGTTCAGTTCCTAGCACCCACATGCCTACTAACAAATGTCCAAAACTCCCAGTTCCAGGGGATCTGACACACACTTCTGACCTCCATGGGCATCACACGACTCATGTTCACTTACATACATGCAAGCAAGACACTCATATGCATAAAATTAAAATAATAAGTTTTTTTTTAAAAAGAAATTACATTTCATAGTCTACTAAATTTTTTTATTTAAATCACTTTCTTTTTATTCTTAGCAGTCACTTAAATGACTTGCTCAGAAATATTGAAGCAAAAATCTCTCTAGCTTATGAAAGAGTTAATTAGTATCCTTATTGTACAAAACAAGCCTTTCACATCGGTGGGGAAAGGACATCTTGATTCTTTTTCTAGCAATATGACAGATTGTGTTAGAGGACTCTAGCCAACCCCTCGTATGTCTTCTTTCTAAAGCATACATAAAAATGTCATCTCTGGGGCTGGAGAGATGGCTCAGTGGTTAAGAGCACTGACTACTCTTGCAGAGAACCAGGGTTCTATTCCCAGCACCCACATGGCGGCTAACAGTATATAACTCCAGTTCCAGGGGATCCAATGCCCTCTTCTGGCCTCCTCAGGCACAGAATGACATGGGTGCATTTACACACCTGCAGGCAATACACTCATACACATAAAATAAAAAGAATAAATAAAAATGTTATCTCTACCAGTTTCTGAACTTTTAATATATACATTTAAATATTCCTCATTTTAAATTGCATTCATTATTTAATTAATTTGAGACAAGGCATTGCCCTACAGCCCAGGCATACCCTGGTTATGTTTTTTAAAAGGAAAACAAGTATCCAAACAAAAACTGATCCAAGAAAACATGGGACACTTACAGAAGAAAAATGTGTATGAATAAAAAATATATGAAAAAAATAAGCTTAGTCTAAGAAGTAATGGAAATCAAAATAGCAATGTGATGCCATCTCAACTATAAAATCAACACATTTAGGGCTTCAGATTCCCCTGGAACTGGAGTTAAGGACGGTTCATAGCTGCCATGTGGGTGCTGGGAATCGAACCCCAGTCCTCTGCAAGAGAAGTCACTGCTCTTAACCACTGAGCCATCTCTCCAGCCCCAAAATCAACACATTTTTTAAATGAAAATGTCCAGGATTGGGCTAGCATGATGGTGTAGTAGGTAAAAGCATTTTCAGTACAAGCCTGATGGACTGAGTTTGATCCCCAGAACCCATGTGAAAAAGCTGGATGCATTGGTGTGCATCTAATCCCAGAATTTCTCTGGTCAGATGGGAGGCAGAAGTAGGAGAGTCTCCTGGAAGCTCATGGGCTAGGTATCCTGGAGTACAGGAACAGTGAGAAAGACACAGTCTCAACAAGGTGGACAAAGAGAACTGACCGTAAAAGTTGTCCTCTGATATATCTTCATGTGCACAGGAATGCCTACATCCATACACACACACACACACACACACACACACACACACACACACACATTTAGGTAATTAAAAAATTTAAAAGAAGCCCTCTGCTTCCCTGGGCCTGCACCACACACCACAAGCCTCTCCTACCCACAGGCCTCTCTCGGGGTTAGTCCATCGTGCCTTCTCTGCTTTGACTCCCCCAGTCCCATTCATGATCCCATCACCCCCACCATTCTCTCCTCCTGGTTTGGGCCCTGCCCCATTCCCTGTTTTGGGGCCCCAGACACCTGGGGAACAAATACTGCTTCCTGATGCTTTTCATCCAGACCAATGTAGTGCCTTCTCTGTGCCTCAGGAGCACTGCTTCTGGACCTGGCCCTGCCCTCACCTCCCTCTGCTTCCCTGGGCCTGTACCACCCCCCAGCCTCTTTCTGGGACACTGGAGCTGATCTTTCCTCTTCTTGATCCTTTGCATCCAGACCAACCCAGCTTCTCAGTGCAGTCCCCAGGAGCCATTGGGGCCACTTCCCACCCCTATCTGCCTTTGCATCTCTGGGTGGCAGAGCCACCAGCTGCC